GACTCTTTATCGTGGTCAATCGATGACAACAGAAGAATTCGATGCATTAAAAAGAAGCACAAATCAACTTATTTCTGTGAACACATTTCTATCGACAACAACAGATCGTGAAGCAGCTAGTATTTTTTCAGGTGAAGGTTCGTCATATTCTGGTCTCATATCAGTTGTATTCGAAATTTTGGTTGATTCAAATTGTGAAATAGCTCTTTTACCACCATTTGCTGACATAAGTAATTTGAGTCATATGAAAGACGAAAATGAAATACTTCTTTCGATGGCTACTGTCATGCAAGTAGTGTTAGTAAAAAAAATTAATCAAACGACTAGAACAATTTATTTACGAATGTGTCGACATGATAATCATACTGTAGCAGAACTAGAAGCGTATTTATTTAATGAAATTCGAAAAACGCAATCTAATGAGTCATGTTATATCCATCAACATGGTACCTTACTTTTCAATATGGGTAAATATAACAAAGCTGAACAAATGTTTAACATGGTATCAATCAATGAAAACTCACTTGATGACGATATGCGACCAATATTTATATTTGTAGCCCGACTTGCTGAACGAATTTCCCGTTAGTAATAATCCTGGTCCAATTATACGAAGTGAAACTCCAAAACTTAGTCGTTTGTATGAAAATCTCAGCATGAATCCTGTCGTTCCCGATCAATGCCAAACAGTATTAAACAATGCAGCTCACTTTCTAAAGGTAGCATCTGGGTGGTTTGTTGGAAATGATGTTTTACGCGGCGAACCAGATCGACTCTTAGAACAATATGCCGAATGTTTATGTGTGTTAGGATCTCTGACGTGTCCTTCCAATCATCCCTTTATGGTTAATATTTATCTTATTCTAGCCATAGCAACAGCTAATCAAGACAAACATGTTCAAGCTATAACTTATTATGAAAAGGCATTGGCTGCATGCGAAAGTTCACTAGATAAAACTAACTCAAACTATACATTTATTCTACGCAATATGGCTGTTAGTTGTATGAAAATTAACGATCACGTCCGAGCAGAACAATTGATACAGCAGTTTGACAGTCAGCGTTCTAAATCGCGCATACCTTCCATTTGTGCACTATGAGTTTCTGCTCAACTTTTCAGAAAACGCAAAGATTGGCATGCAGCAATTGCCTGTTACAAAGATATTCTTGAAATGAGTGACTTATCACCAAATTCGGTAGACACTATTCAAGCTCATGTCAGTATTGCTTCGATGTATGTGCTACTAGGAGATTTGGACAATGCTCGTAGACATCTACAGACTGTACCCACACCCTCTTCAACAACAGCATCAACAATTAGATGACTCGTTGACGAATTCTATTCAAGAAGTCATGCTCTTAGTTGAGCTGGGAAGACATACGTTTCAAAACGATGGTTCTTTACAATAACTAATAAGTTAACCTTTTCTCACAGGGTGTAGGTGTGGATATTAATTTGAATCAAGTCCACAGCTACACCGCACACCTACACTCACACTACACCCCACACTTCGACTTTTCTTCTACTAGTTGACGGGGTGTGGGTGTAGGCAATTATTTACACACCCACCCACACCCACACCCACGCCCTACTCTATATATGGTTTGAAACTATTGTAACCATTTCTATTCTAGAAAAGAACATGAAATATTAATATATGAAGTTGTTTAATAGTATTCCTAATTCCC